TTCTTCACCAGTGGATTATAAGAATTTTTGTTCCAATGCTTCAACCTCTGTAATCATATATTGTTTTATCTCATGATTTTTTTCTTTATCTTTCTATGTTATCTTGAAATCTTGAGATGAATTAATTATAATCCTATCTTTTCCTTTAAATTTTTTTTTTATCTAAAAGAGCATTTTCTATTTGTATATTATATTCCAGATTTTCCAATCTTTTGTGTACATTTTCAAAACTTTCGTTTATACTATTTTTAAATAAATAAGGATAACTTGGTTTTTTTTTTATGTTTTTTAACATTTTTCAAAAATTCTTCAATTATATTTTCTTTGTCTATTATATTCATCATTATTTTAGATTCGTAATATGGCTCTGATACCATTTTAGGGGTCAGGTGAGCGTGCAGAGTTTTGATCTATTTTTAAGTAAGCTTTTAAGATATTGTAATATCAAAATCTTGTATAATATCTGGAATTAAATCTATCAAAGATTCTAAGTTCATAAATTCTTAGGGGCTTGATTGAAGTTTCTATATTCTTATAGTGGCTTTGGTTGCAAATTCTATGTAAGAGGGTATTTTTGGAAAACTATTGGTCTGTAGCTATTCTGGTAAATGAATAGTTCTGATAGAATGAAATTATCCTTCTAAAAATATGTGATAAATTGCACTATCGAAAAAGTCTTCGTGTCTATAAATAAATAAATAAATAAAATTGAAACTTTGTAGCTACTTGAGTAAACTGTCAGTACATAATTTTATACATAATTGCATGCCAAGTGGTTAATTTTTGGTTTAGGATTGCAGTTTGAATATTAATATTTGATTTGTTACAGTATGCTATCAACTAAGGTTTCACTTTTTTTGTATACTCGTTTGAAATTTAAAGTTTTAATGGAAAAAAAAATGTGAATAGTACAGTCACTGTTCACGTGAACCGTGGGTGGAATATATATATATATATATGGGTGGAAAATAGAAACAGTGCAAGTAAGAAGACGTGGTTTAGTTGGATTTATATGTTCTCTCGACAATCTACTCAAAACATTTCTGTCAGAGACAAGACCCTCATGGCATATTTGAATCAGAAATAACACCGCTGAAGTGACAAAATGACTTCATCAGCAAGAAGAATTGCAAATCAATCTGTCGGATTAAATTGACGTGAACAACTACTCAAATATCATTAGGAAGAACAGACCAAAACACCGAAATGCTATTATGCTCCCTGCACAAACCATCACCTAGTTTATGTTGAAATATACCAGAGCACTAACACACTCGTAATTTCAATCAGAAACGCATATACTCAAATTCTGAAGGACGGACTGTTCCACTAACTGAATTCCCAAATCCAAAGTAAAGAGAATTAAACAAATAAACCAATCAAGTGTCATTTCAACAGAAAAATATGCAGAAAAAAACTGCTTGCACCTCATATTTGGTTATTTCGGCCTGTACTTCCTTTGATGCAAATAGTTCAGCAACAGGTTTGGAGCTGACTTGTTTTCTACCAGAAAATTTTGCTCTTCCCCTGGGAGTATGCTGTGATTTTTTATTTGAAGTTGAACTCGGTCCAATTTTAAACTTCAGACCTGCAGTACTACTCGGGATGCGAGATATAATTGCAGTAGTTTCTGTAAAGGCTTTTGCTTCCTTGCTACTTCCTTTCTCCACAGATTTTGCCACCACACCTTCCATGGGAACTATATAACTTGATCCCAAACTACTATCAGCCTCCGATTTAATTTCAGACCCCTTGATACCACCCATGACCTCAGAGTACTCATCTTCTTCACCAGCAGCCAATTCATGTTCAGAAGGGCTTGTACCATAAGAGGAAAATTGCTCATCCTCAGCAGAGTCATAGAGCGGAATTTTTTCAACTGTATATCTGCAACGTAAAAGCCAGTTTAGGCTAAGGATCCCAACAACAAATGACAAAAATAGCAAGATTCATATTTCCAAACAAT